ATCTTGAACCTTCCTATCAGCGTAACTCTTTTGCCTCACCTACACTGTACGAAGACTCTCCTAAATCACCTTCACCTTTTGCAAAGCATCCTGCACCAAATCAGTCCCCAATAGCCTAGCCTCACCGGGCTCGAACCAACCAACTGGAGATCTACACCGCCTCCCATACAAAGCCTCATATAGAGCCATCTGAATACTCGACTGGTAGTTGTTGTTATAAGCAAACTCTGCAAGTGGTAGAAACTCATCCCATGACCCTCCGAAGTCAATGACACAAGCACACAACATGTCCTGCGATATTTGAATAGTGCGCTCGGACTGCCTACCATCTAAGGGTGAAAAGTTGTGCTCAACTCAACCTGAGTACCCAACTCTCGCTGCACAGACCTCCAAAACTGTGATGTAAACTGAGTGCCTTATCTGAAATGATGGAAACTGGGATACCATGCAAATTAACAATTTCCCGGATATAGATATCTGCCAACCGCTCTGAATAATAGGTAGTACACACAGGAATGAAGTGCGCGGACTTGGTTAGTCGATCCATAATCACACAAATAGCATCAAACTTCTTCAAAGTTCGTGGAAGTCCAAAAACAAGGTCCATAGTGATCCTCTCCCACTTCCACTCAGGAATATCCATCTGCTGTAGCAAACCACCCGGTCTCTGATGCTCATATTTCACCTACTGACAATTGAGACACCGGGCTACAAATCCCACAATATATTTCTTCATTCTTCTCCACCAATAGTGCTACCTCAAATCCTGATACATCTTTGCGGCACCCGGATGAATGGAATACCGTGAGCTATGGGACTCCTCCAGAATCAACTCCCGAATCCCATCCACATTGGGCACACAAATCTAGCCCTGCATCCTCAACACCCCAGCATCACTAATGGTCACATCTTTGGCATCATCGTGCTGAACTCTGTCCTTAAGGAGTAGAAAATGTGGATCATCATATTGGCGCTCTCTGATGTGATCATATAAGGAAGACCGAGAAAACACACAAACCAATACCCAACTGGGCTCCGAAATATCCAACCTCACGAACCGATTGGACAAGGCCTGAACATCAACTACAAGAGGTCTCTCCCCAATTGGAATATATGCCAAACTTCCATACTCACCGCCTTTCGGCTCAAAGCATCGGCCACCACATTTGCCTTTCCCGAATGGTACAATATAATGATATCATAATCCTTAAGCAACTCCAACCATCTCCGCTGCCTCAAATTAAGATCATTTTGCTTGAACAAATGCTGAAGACTGTGATGGTCAGTGAACACCTCACAAGATACGCCATACAAGTAATGCCTCCAAATCTTCAACGCGTTAACTATGGCAGCCAACTCAAAATCATGAATGGGGTAGTTCTTCTCATAGGGCTTCAATTGACGAGAAGCATAAGCAATAACTCTACCCTCGTGCATCAACACACAACCAATCCCAACTCTCGAAGCATCACAATACATGGTATATGAACCTAAAGCTGATGGTAAAACCAGCACTGGAGTTGTGGTCAAAGCTATCTTGAGCTTCTGAAAGCTCTCCTCCCACTCGTCTGACCATACAAATGAAGCACCCTTCTAATTCAACTTGGTCAAGAGCGATGCGATAGATGAGAATCCCTGAACAAACCGGCGATAATAGCCTGCCAAACCAAGAAAGCTATGAATCTCTGTGGCTGAGGACGGTCTAGGCCAACTCTGAATCGCTTCTATCTTCTTCGGATCAACCTGAATACCCTTGCTAGACACCACGTGCCCTAAGAAAGCCACTGAACTGAGCCAAAACTCACACTTAGAGAACTTTGCATAAAGCTTATCCTCCCTCAATCTTTGCAATACAACCCTCAAATGCTCCGCGTGCTCCTCCTGACAACGCGAATACACCAGACTATCATCAATGAAGACTATGACAAACGAATCGAGATAAGGCCGGAACACGCTGTTCTCAAATGCATGAACACTGTTAGGGCATTGGTTAGCCCAAAAGATATCAACAAGAACTCATAATGACCATGTCACACCTCCTTTTTACGCACCCGCGAGGGCGCNTATATTTGGCTTGATTATCTGATTTTATACATGTTAAACCTATGTGCAAGTTTTAAACTCTTGAACGCTTTTATTATTATTTTTTATNTTGGGTGGTGACGACGTCGGGGTTGTAGATGGGTTTGGACGTGGGGGAAGTAGGGTTCCGTTTTTTCTTTTAGTAGGATTTTCTTTCTTTCTTCTTTATGAAGAAGAAAGATGAACAGTAGTTCCCCCCAGCAAAAATTTTTTCAAAAACCCCGTCTTTTTTTTTCTTTCAAAAATTCCCCCGTGTATTTAGTATGGTTTTGCCCAGGGAAATGAGCCCCACGCGTGGTGGGGTTCGAGACTTGTGTCCCCCACGCGTGGTGGGGTTCCCCATGTGTCGTGGACTCGGTTTATTATGGGCTAGGTCCAAAAATTAGACCTAAAACCGAGTAGTTTGAACCCGAATATTATTCTTTTGCCCGGACCCGAGAAAAGGCACATGACGTTGCTCAATAAGCAAAATAACTAACAAAAATAAGACTAATATTTAAACAAAACTATATCTTTTTAAGTATATTTTTCAAGATTTAAAATAGCTACAAAATGTTAATAAAACTATTTTTTTGTAATTTTCGTTTTTTATATAAAGATAAAATATAAATAATATTTTTGCATTTTTTCCAAATTAAAATGACTACAAAACATTAATAGAATTATATTTTTTTGTAATTTTCGAAATTATATAAAGTACAAAAATAAAGTGCAATTTTTGTATTTTTCAAGTTTATAAGATATACATAAACTAAAATTTATATATATATTTTTTGTAATTTTCTTTTTGCAACAAAATAAAGTAAAAATAGTTAAAATAGCTATACTAGACCCAATTTCACATATTCACGCTAAAAATGTGAAAATTCTCAGGGAGGGTCAAAAATCCGGTGTCTACAGACCATATTGGGTCCCGAAAGTCGTCTTAAGAATATCTGAATCCCTGATATTCAACTGGTGATAACCCGAACGGAGATCAATCTTGGAGAACACCCTCGCTCCCTGAAGCTGGTCGAATAGATCATCAATGCGAGGCAAAAGATACTTGTTCTTAATTGATACCTTGTTCAATTACCTATATTCAATGCACAATATCATTGTACCATCCATCTTCTTCACAAATAGAACCGGCGCACCCCAAGGTGACACACTAGGCCGAATGAACCCCTTATCTAGGAGTTCCTGAAGCTGCTCCTTTAACTCCTTCAACTCTGCTGGTGCCATACGATATGGCAGAATAGAAATGGGCTGAGTGCCCGGCACTAGGTCAATACCAAAATCAATATCCCTGTCCGGTGGCATGCCCGGCAGGTCTGCAGGAAACACATCAGGAAAATCCCTCACAACTAGAACAGAATCAATATTGGGAGTCTCAGCTCCAACATTCCTCACAAACGCTAGATATGAAAGACAACCCTTCCCAACCATACGATGGGCCTTCAAGAAAGAGATAACTCTACTAGAAACATAATCAGTCACACCTCGCCACTCGATCTGTGGCACACCCGGCATAGCCAATGTGACTGTCTTAGCGTGACAGTCCAGAATAGCACAACACGGAGATAACCAATCCATGCCCAAAATGACATCAAAATCCACCATGCTCAATAGTAATAGATTCACTCGAGTCTCTAGACCCCCAATAGCCACCACACACGACCGGTACATACGGTCTACAACAACAGTATCGCCCACTAAGGTAGATACATGAATAGGTAAAGCAAGAAACTCATGGGGCATACCAAAATAACGAGCAAAGTATGATGACACATAAGAAAAGGTGGAACCGGGATCAAATAATATAGAGGCATCTCTGTGGCAGACTGAAACAATACCTATAATGACAGCATCTGAAGCAATAGCATCGGGTCTACCTGGGAGTGCATAGAAATGGTCCTGACCGCCCGTTGATCGACCTCCCCCTCTGGGGCGACCCCTGGATGACTGACCTCCACCCCTAGCTGGCTGTGGTGGCGAAGAAACTGGAACTAAAGTCGATGACTGACCCCTCTGCTGGGACGAACTAGCAACACGACGAGGACACTGCCTCCATATGTGGCCCATCTCACCACACTCATAACAACTCCCAGGTGCTAGAGAAGGGAACTAAAGGGAACCCTTCGCACCAGAGTGACTAGCAGATGCACTTAGCATAGAAGAGCCCTGAGCTGATGGAGCACAGGATGAACTCTGAGCTGGAAGGGCACTGAGTCATGACTGGCCCTGTAGAGATCCATGATAACCATGACCCGAAGATGCCCCACGATAACCTAGGTGAGCTGGCTGAGCAGATCTAAATGAACGGCCTCTGCCGTGCTGAAATTGACCCCTCGAAAGAGCACCACTATAGCTGCTAGATCCTCGAGGCATCTTGGCCTCCCTCTCCTCTCGCTTCTGACGGCGAACCGACTCAATCTCACGGGCGATATCAACAACCTCCTTGAAAGTAGCACCAAATACCCTCTCCCTAGTCATAAGAATACGGAGCTGATAAGTAAGACCATCAACATACCTCCTGATCCGCTCTCGATCTGTCGGAACCAACTAGATGGCATGACGAGCCAACTCAAAAAACCTCAACTCATACTGCGACATGGTCATCTCCCCATGTCATAACCACTCAAACTGCCTACACAGCTCCTCTCTGCAGGACTGCGACACGTACTTCTCCAGGAAGAGAACAGAGAACTGCTGCCAGGAAAGGGGTGCTGCACTAACATGCCTATGCCTCTTAAAATCCTTCTACCAAGTGAAAGTAGCTCCTGAAAACTAATAGCTGGTAAAAGCGACCCCGCTGGTCTCTAGAATACCTGCAGTGCGAAGCATCCTCTGACACTTATACAAAAAGCCCTGGGCATCCTCACCCTCTACGCCACTGAAGGTCGGAGGCTGCAATCTGCCAAATCTCTCCAACCTACGCTGCTCATACTCTGGCATGCCAGGAACCACATAGTCCTGAGCAGCTACAATCGGCTGGGCTGGACGCGCCCTGGCATCTGAAGTCCCTGCACGACCTACTCAAGTGTGCGAGCGATAGGAGTCTGATTGCCTCCCCTGGCCTGAGAAGTAGTTGCGGCTGTAGTGGCTGAAACCGCCTAAGCCAGGCCAGTGCAAAATGACAAGATTTGCGCCAAGACCTCTTGAAGACCCGGAATCACGATGGGCACAGTTGGTGCCTGAACTGGTGCTGCTGAAGCATCCATAGCTGGAGCCTGATCCTGTGCTGGGGCAGTTGGTGGATCTATAGGTGTTGCCCTCGCTGCTTTGCCTCTACCACGATCATGACCGCGTCCACGGCCTCTAGTGGCCACAGCTGGTGGCACTAATGGTTGTCCACCCTGTCCGGTAGCACGTGTCCTCACCATCTATGAGAGAATAGAATAACAGAAGTTTAGTACTCGGATCAACAAGTTCACATGATAAGAATTTCAAGAATATAAAGTTTTTCCTAAAGGTTCTGCAGCCTCTCGAGGATAAATACAGACATCTCCGTACCGATCTGCGAGACTCTACTAAACCTACTCATGACTCATGAGACCTATGTAACCTAGGCCCTGATACCAACTTGTCACGACCCTAACCCCAAACCCGATCGTGATGGCACCTCTCGTGAAGACAAGGCCAGCCAACTAAACCCAATTCACTTGTTAAAGCAGTTAAGAAACATAAAAGTAGTCTGAAACATGATTTAATGATAATAAGTAACGGAAATACAACCCGACACAGCCCTAACCGGGGTGTCACAAGTCACGAGCATCTAACAGTACTGAATCCTCAAATGTAACTACAGAGTTTTAAACACTAAACTAAGAACATAAGGGAAATAGATAGAGAGGAGCTCCAGGCTACGAAACACCAACAGCTACCTAAAGACTCCTCGAAGATCCGCTTGAAGCTGGAATAAATCAGCACTCAGGAACGGGACCAGCTATGCCTGAATCTGTACACAGGGTACAGGGAGTAAAGTGAGTACTCCAACTCAGCGAGTAACAAACATAAATAACGACTAAAAGTAAGAAAACACATAAGGCACACGACATTCTATAATGAAGCAGTAAAAATCATTTAAAAGCAGTAAACCAGTGAAAAATCAAGTAAAACTTCTTTCAACAACTAAACAAGTAATTGACAGGTAATTAAGGTAAAGTAAACAAATAGAAGTTCGCCCCTCGGGCAACATCTCAGAACAATACCAGCCCCTCGGGCTCAATCTCACATTACAATGGGTACCCGCGCTCACTGGGGGTGTGCAGACTCCTAGAGGGGCCCCTTATGGCCCAAGCGCAATAACAAGCCATCTCGTGGCATCAAATCTAGGCCCTCGGCCTCATATCAATCAAGCCACCTCGTAGCGTACATATCTCAGGCCCTCAGCCTCCAATCAGTATTAGTGTTTCCTCACAATCTAGGCCCTCAGTCTTACTCAGTCAAAAATCATCACAAGCCCCTCGGGCAATAGTAAAATAGTGTTTCTCAGCCCAAACATCGTTTAAAATATCATTTATGTCTCAAAACTAAGTAAAATTGGCTGAGTAGTAAAACAGTGGAAAATAAAATGACTGAGTTCAAGTAATAAGTCAAAACAATAAGGAAATAGTAATAAAAATCCCCGAAGGGTTCAAATAGTTGGCACGAAGCCCAAAATATGGCATTCAGCCCAAATAATGATGATAGCAATTAAGTTTCAGTCAAATACGCGGTAAAATCAACAATCGGGACGGACCAAGTCACAATCCCCAATAGTGCACGACCCCACGCTCGTCATCAAGCGTGTGTTTCACCTCAACATAGCACACGATGTGCAAGTCTGGGGTTTCATACCCTTAGGATATCATTTACAATCATTACTCATCTCGAACCGGCTAAATTTCTAGCTCGCGACTCCCTTGCCCTCAAATCGGCCTCCACGCACGTCGAACCTATCCAAAATCAGAACGAGGACGTCAAAATATACTAAGGGAACAAAGACCATGCAAAAATGATCAATAAATGGCACAAATCCCCAAATTACCAAAACCCGACCCCCGGGCCCCCGAGTTCATACATATCAAGAATACTAAAATCGGAGTCCAAATGACCCCTCAAATCCTCCTTTAAAGGCCTCTTAAACTCAAGCCCTAATCCTCCATTTTTAGCCCGTTAATTCCTTTAATTACACCCTTAATCCATGAAATACTACCATAGAAATGTGTTTTAGGTCCAAAATTCTTACCTTAACGAAGTCTCCTTGATTTCTCTCTTCACAATCGCTCAAAGCTCCCGAATCCGTGTTCAAAAATGGTGAAAACCTTCAAAATCATGAAGGAAGACTTATATACCTTCTGCCCAGGGACACCCGCATCTGCGGTCCAAAACCCGCTTCTACGGAAATCACTAACAGCCAAAAAGTCACATCTGCGATATGCCTTCCGCATCTGTAGCTTCGCAGATGCGGCCATCCTTACTGCTTCTGCGATCACTGACAAATCCTTATAATTAGCTTTTGTGGCCACTCCATCTCATATGTGGTGCCGCACCTGTGGTCCCTAAACCACAGGTGCGAAAACACCAGAAGCAACAAAACTTCAGCAGCTGCAATAACATCTCAACTCCTCCGTTAGCCATCCAAAATTACCCCGAGGCCCCCGGGGCCTCAACACAAAGCACAAACACAACCCAATACCTTATTCAAACTTTTTCCAATCATCAAAACACCTCCAACAACATCAAATATACCAAAACACATCGGATTCAAGCCTAAGTTTCTAAAATCTTCCAAATTCCGCTTTTGATCAAAAACCCAACCAAACCACGACCGAATGACCTAAAATTTTGCACACACATCCCAAATGACATAACGGAGCTATTGAAACTCTCGGAATTCCATTCCAACCCCTATATCAAAATCTCGCCTACCAACCGGAAATCGCCAAAATATCAACTTCGCCAATTCAAGCCTAAATCTACTCCAAACCCCCAAAACCCATTCCGACCATGCTCCTAAGCCATAAATCACCTCCCGAAGATAACCGAACCGTCAAAACTCACATACGAGCCCACTAACACCTAAGTTAACATCCGGTTGACTTTTCTAACTTAAACCTCCTTAAAAGAGACTAAGTGTCTCAAACCTTGCCAAAATCATTTTGAATTCGATCCGACCAACCCGACACCACAAAACATGAATAACGAAGCATAAAGATGCAGAAATGGGGGAAACTGAGCGGTAACTCATGAGATGACTGGCCGGGTCATCACAGCTTCAGACTCGACCTCGAGGCCCTCGAATAGGCAAGCTCGAGGCCCCAATTATTAATCATTCGTTTTGGTTATCACCTTGCTTTCAAGCTCTTATCTCATTTGTAAGTCTTTCACATAGCATCAACTACTTAACAACTAGCATAAAAATAGATCACGTATTTTTAGAACCACTAAATCAAATTTAATTGTTATTACCATTTTCACGGTAAATAGTTTGGTGCCTACCGTGGGGCTAAAAATAATAGTAATTATTTTCTTGTTAGTTTTACTACGTAACGCAAGTTATCTTTCACACTTTTTCTTGTCCAAGATCTTTGATTTCATGTCAAAATGCCTAAACTAGTAAATGTACCTGAAAATAGCATCCTCGAAAACTATGGAAAGGGCAGTATGGCTATTCCAGGTATGGGTGTGCCATCGCAAAACCCTGAGAGCACACCGGAGCCGATTCCCAAGGGTAAAACCTCGCACGGTGCCCAAAGCGTTAACGTTGGTCCTCACATTAACTAGGGAGCGCATCGAGAAATTCAGTAGGAAACTCAAAAAATCTGACCTGGGCAAAAAGATAGACTCTTCGGCATGTCATTCATATGATTATCGGGGGGACTGAGATTCCCTAAGGACCCGTGATCAAACGGATAAAAATATTCGCTGCAATTGAAGGGTTGATCCGAAACTGCATGACCGATGACACCCTTGCATTCAGCGTGAAGGATCTCGAGACCTTGGCAGAACCGCACAACGACGCGCTGGTAATTTCATTTCTTTTAAGCAACGTTCGAATTAAATGTGTGCTTGTAGATCCATTGTAGATCCAGGAAGTTCGGCAAACGTAATCAGGTCGAAGGTAGTAGAACAACTTGGGTTACTTGATCAGATCGTACCCGCCTCCCGGGTCCTCCACGACTTCAACATGGCCGGCGAAGTCATGAAAGGAGAGATCTCCCTCCCGGTTGACATGTCTAGTACAGTTCAAAACACCAAGTTCCACGTCATCGGCGGTGACATAAGGTACAATGCATTGCTCGGTAGGCCGTGGATACACAGCATAAGGGCAGTGCCATCACCTCTGCACTAGATGATAAAATTTCCAACAAAGGATGGCATAAAAACCATATATGGAGAACATCATGCGGAAAAAGAAATGTGTGCAGTTTACCAGGAGGTGCCGGATCCCATACATTCCACCTCGGATGAGCCTGGGAGTGTACAGACTCCCGAGGATAATGAAGAAGATTTCCTCGATCCTGGAACTTTCGTTGCCCCCAAAGAGTCGGAAGCAACAAAATCGACAATTGAAGAACTAGAGCAAGCCATTTTGATCGAGCATCTCCCGAATCGGAAGGTATAGCTGAGAACGGGATTAAACCCCAAACTCAGGAAAAAACTCATTCAATTCCTTATTAATAACATTGACTGTTTTGCTTGGTCCCACTTGGATATGACAGGAATCCCGCCGGAAATAACCACCCACCGATTGAGTGTCGACCCCAGGTTTAAACCGGTGAAGTAAAAAAGAAGACCACAGTCCGAAGTAAAACACGCATTCATCAAGGAAGAGGTAACGAAACTCCTTAAAATAGGGTCTATTAGAGAGGTAAAGTACCCCTAATGGCTAGCCAACGTAGTGGTAGTGCCCAAAAAGGGAAATAAGTTAAGAATGTGTGTAGATTATAAAGACTTAAATAAGGCGTTCCCCAAAGATTCGTTACCATTGCCTAACATTGATCGTCTGATCGATGCTACAGCCGGCCACGAGACCCTCACCTTTCTTGACGCCTACTCGGGGTATAATCAAATTCAGATGAACCCCGAGGATAGGGAAAAGACTTCGTTCATCACGAAGTGTGGTACCTACTGCTAAAATTGTAATACCTCATATTTTGGTTAGGGCATATTAGTTATTTACCTAAATAAATAGAATTAAAAAAAAACAAATAAAACAAGACCAAAAAAAAAGAAATAAAACAAGGGGATTAGGGCCAAAGCCCACTACGAGAGTAAAGAAGCAAATGGCCTAGGCATTAAAGCAATAAAGCTTCAGTGTTTCGGCAGAAGCCATTCAAAGGCAAAAGAAAAAAAATCGAGTACCTATTTTCAGCGAAGGGATTTGCAGCTCAGAGAA